TTCTGCAGACTGGCATATTTCCATAACATTTTCTGCAGACCAGTTGTGTTCCATAAAATGTGTGCAGACTACCAGAAAATATTTTATACCTCCCATAAAGTCCTCCAAAAAAAAAATTTATTTCAAAACTTGAGTTAAGAAGCAGTGAAGCAACTGTAGTGCAATGTCTTAAAAAAATCAGAGAGCTGGGCTTGAAAAATGGTTTCCCAGAAGAAAAATTGGAAATAATTTATTTCAGCATGTGAAAATTATTCTTGAGTGTTGTTAAGGGAAGAGCCAACTTTTACTTTAATCAGCTAATTTATACTGCTATTGTCTCTCCAAGCCATCAGATAACCAAAACTTCATAACAATGTCTGATGCATTTAATTTATTATGCTAAAAATTTTCTGCAGACAGTCAAAAACTTCTGCAGACTGGCACTGATCTGCAGACCACAGTTTGTCAATTCCAGTTGAAGTTCTCTCTGGATAGAGATAATCTGAATCTGAATTGAAATTCCATAAATAGGATATCACATATATTTCAAACTTAGTCTTGCAGAAATCTAAAGGATAAATTATTTAAAGTTTATGAAAGATTTCATTTCACTGCCTTACAATCATGGTTTTTAGTTAACAATTGAAGCATGCAAATAAATTTTCCCACTTCACCCACTTAATTACTGTACAGGTGGTACCTTGCAATTCAAACTCCTGCAATTCAACAGTCAAATTTGCAGGGAGGTTGATATGCAATTTGACTCTTTTCTCAAAATTTGTCCTGCTTTGGCCATTATTTTTTGCATATTTCTACTGATATTTTTGGATTTCACAGTGTCTCACAATTCAGCTGCTTTGCCATTTGTTGGGCATGCACGCCATTGTTAGAAATTTGTGAAGGTCTATAAATTAATTATTAATATAAGTTCCTCCCAAGAAGAAGTTCAGTAGAATTGAAGGTGTGTGTTAGCTTTTACTCAAAGTTGTTCACAAGCCAGAGCTGGTAAAGTGGTATTTACTCTTTTGTGAAATATATGTTATTCCTCTTTCAACTCATAAGAATTCCCGGACTGAATCTTTTGTTTTATTTATAAACAACTCAGCATCAACTTATATTGTGGCCAGTTGTGCCCAATACCATTTGACCCTAGCTTGGCAATGGGTTAGGGTCAAATTGCAAGGTACCACCTGTATACCCTAAAAAAGTAAAAACAAAGATGACACTTTACTGGGGAAGGAGGGGGGGGGGGTGTTTTGAAGACCTGCCTATAATTTTTGCAAATTGTGATGTACTGAGTTATGGTCAATTTAAATCTCTTATTCCATGTGTGGTGGTTTATGTTGAAGGAAGTAGAATTCCTCACTACTGCATTCATGCGTTCACCAGCCCTGATTTGCAACAGAGAGCACCGAATTTTTTTCTCCTTCTCGCACTTCTCTCTCTATCTCCGCGTTATTCCCTTTTCATTTCCCCTCTCTTCTCTGTTTTCTTTTGCATTCTGTTCTTTTCTTCTTTCCCTGCTGGGTGGAAATCTGCTTTGTTTCCTTTTCATCGCCAAGAACAATGGTGACTCGGCAGGGGTTGCAGCCACGAAATCGGTACCCTTTTTTCCGCACTCCAGTGAGCAGGTATCTTGCTCCTACTGCGGGAAAAAACTTCATTCTCTAAGGCCTGGAATTTTTCTCCTTTGAAAAAGAACAAGACTTTGCTTAGTGTAGTACATGTACTGTACATTACTCAAACAGAGTCGTTATTGCAGAACTAATTTACTTTTTCTCGCGTACGTTACAGGAAGCAGCATTTTTCTCTAGATATTGAAGAACAGTCGGAGTTTTTCTTTTGTTAAATCAGCAGGAGTGTGTTTTGCGGAAATGCAAGCAGATTTTTTTTTCTCAGGATATAAAAATGAAGCAGTGAGGAAGTCAGAAGCGTCAGAGTTTTTAATATTATTGAAGAAACGGTTGTAAAATTCTGAGACAGAATTTTACAAATGGTTCTCTTGCGACGGATCGTTTGATTTAGAAGAGAATTTACGTGGGAATACTTGTAAAAAATTGTGATATAACGGAATTTCATAATAAGAAATGCAGGGCTGGTTCATTCGTTTTTTCCGCATTATTTTCGCCATGTTAGAGAGAGATGATGGATGATCTGAGGTTGAAACAGTATTTTTCTGAGGAATATTACACTGAATCCTGATCATTTATTTTTTCTTTCAATGCCGTTTGAAATGAAGAAATTTAGCAAAGATATTGAAAATCATTCCAGGCACTATTTTTTATAGCAAATGAATTTTTTATCATGACTTGCTCGGTGAAATGTATAGTGCACCTCTGCATTGCCTTGAAAAGTCGTGTCGAAAAAAAAAGTTGCGAAAGTCGAAACAGCAACTGAAGCATATCGTCCGCGAAAAAATGAATCTAAAAAGAAAAAAGTTATTTTTAGCAGCCTTTTACTTAACGCAGTCATGAATTTGAATCTGAACACAGTTGAAAGAAAAATATTCGAAAGCAATGGAACAAAGTTGACGGACGTCAATGGAAATTGTAGATTATAATTTCTAAATCTGAAAAGGCATACAGTAAAAAATTCCCTTTCAGGCTTTCACTCAGAAAATTTCTAAAAACTCCGTTTTTCAGATGTGCATGTTTGTCATGTCAAAATTGTATGCCTTGTCGACTAGTTTCACAATTTACATATGTATGTTTGCACATGATGTAAAATGTTGAAATTTTATAAATTGGAACATTTTATCAGAGCAACGTTATTAAAAATACTTATGAAAAACGTTCTGTTTCAGTAATTGAAAATATGATGAGAAATCGGCGTTGTATTGTAGGGATAGGTAAAGCTCCAGATATTCAAAGAGTAAGATAATACATTTACTGTACTTGAGTATCAACTGAAATTTTTTTTCTCAAAATGCACTCCGTAGGTGGGTATACATTTAAAAAAAGTTTTAGAAGTTTAGGTGTGCATTCTATTCAATTCTACTGTAACTGGAAATGTTGGACCAGTAGAAGAACACATCGTAATCAAAACAATTGCAAACTGGTCGAGTTCAGGTTCAATTCATGGACACTGTGAATTCAAATTTGGGTGTTCTTATTTTTTGAAATATTGAAAGTTTTAGAGTCAATTAGATTGGGTTATGCATTTTACAAATAAAAACAATTGTATTTATCTTTTTGACTGATAACCTCTATATATAGTGCTGCTCATCTCACTCAAAAATATTTTTTCTTTAAAAAAAAAACGTCTTTGGCTGGATGTGAGGCCTTCCAAGGAATAAAATAAATCCTGGACGTCGTTCTTGCTGTTTTGCAGTTGCCCAGGTGATTAGGGCGGGCAGTTTCCCTTCCACCAGAATGCCCAAAGGGGTTCTGGTATTTGCCCTCCTCTGATGCAAATTATTTCTGAAAAAAAAAGAATCGAAATTTTGGGGACCCAGATACTGTATTCTTGGGAATTCGAAAGAAGCTTTGCTGGGAATAGCAGGCAAGTATCTGGGTCATCTTTTGAATCACTGCAGTAAACCCAACCACATGAATTTTAGCAGTTTGTGGAATTTTTTGATTATATGCTGGGAGAATCTTTCTGCTTATCTCTGCAATGCCTTCCTTGGGGACTTGCAAATAATTATGCACAAAAGATATTGTACTTTAGTTGAGCAAGAGAATCTTGATCATTATTAGCAGGTCTGCAATAAATTCCTCAAGTTGAAAAAATTGCTGCGAATGAAAAAAAAAAAAAAAAAACGGTTCGGTTGCCACGATCAAGTGTCCTACTTTTTAAATTAAATTTCTGCTCAGAAAATTTGCATAAATCTCGATGTTAATCTGTTGGAACTTTCCTTGCAAGTTGGCTGCATTTCATTTCAGAGTAAAAAATTTTGAATCACTCAATGAGCCGCTTGGTGAATTCAAATACAGCAGAAGAAATTAAACCAAATATGGGAGAATGCAATTTTTTAATTCTCTAAACGTTGAAATACGGTCATGATAAATTAACCGGACCATATTTGAATACATCCCACCAAACATTTTTCAACGCTTGCAGATGGTCATTAGAGAAATGTACCCTGCACTTGAAAAACTAATTGAAGGTAAATTCACAAATCATCAACAGAGGACAAGTCAGGAAACACTGTAACAATAAAATAAAATAAAAAAGTCAGAATGCGATTAAAATTACAACTTTTCTATCCCTGATTCTTCCCGTCAAATTCGAATGTTGTTCAGTTTTGTGGATGTCATTCAAATTAAATTTCAATTTCAAACAAATATACAGGATCATATAAACAAAATATTTATTTCACCAAGTGCATTCTTGCTGGAATTTTTTTTGCATTATTCTCAGGTTATTAACAAGACTGCTGCCTTTATTTAGACTTATTTCAAATTTTGCATTAAAGGTCGAACTTGTTCGACTGAATCTCACTTCAGTCGTAGAAGCTTCTTCAGATCTTCGCCATTTCAATGTTGCTTCAAGGTGGCATGAAAAAGATCTTTGGTTATAAATGAAGCCCAACATCAACACCATCATGAATTTTCACCCAATAAATCTGAAAAAGAAAGTCTTGCCTGATCAATATTATAAACTAGTCTCAGTCATGAAACGTTCATCAAAGAAATGATCCTGCATCCCAAAAATGTATTCAATTTTTCGCCTGTTTCCTCCATATCCCTGTTCTGCGAGGAGAATAATTTCGTTATGACGAAGACCCCCGTCAGTGTTATGATGTGGCCAGCGAGCTTCAGCCAAGAATCGCCAGATTTTTGTTGCTCAACATGTTTTGTTCAAACGCTTGTCTACTTCTCTGTCCTTATTCTTATTTTTTCAGTTTGCCAAGGCGGTGCCTGCAATTAAAGTGAGGGAGGATTTTGGTTAACCATGGGAGTGAGTGAGTGAGTGAGTGCTGGGCCAGTCTTATCGGCCCATCGGAGCTCGCAGGCAGGAATCATTTTCTTGGGCACCCTGCTGAGGGGGGGGGACTTGCCTGCTTGCCCAGCTTGTTGATGGACAGGGCTGCCATTTTGCATACGAACAGGGCACTGGCGGATTTCTGGACTGCTTCCAAGACCTTGCTGATATTTTACCATGCTCAAACTGGCCACAAAAAGAAAAAAATAAGTAATTGGCCTTATACTTCACTGGAGCTTGAATTACACTACACGGTGGTAGTGTAATTCCAGGTTCCTTGGATTTTTGCAGAGATAGAGAGAGAGGAGAGAGAGAGAGAGAGTCAACCTGTAATAGACTTGAAATCTGTAAGAGTCCTTCACTGGCTGAAAAACATGGATCACGCTTTTCGAACAGTTTTGGATGCAAAATTTGAATTCCCCTTCAGAAAAGGTTAGGAATTGATTCAATCCAGCTTGAAAAATTTTTTAGCTTATGAAGGAAATGCTGGAAGAAGTTGTGTTTTCTAGCCTAAATTTCTCCTGCATTTCATGTATATGCACAATATTGGCCATCCTTCAATTTCAACAGAAAATAAGCCCTGGAAAAATCTGTAGCATAAAGTACATACTGTACATAAAATCCCTGCTTAACAAAAGCCTCGGGCAACAAAATAAATTGGCATGAAAATTTTATTGATTAGGAAAACATCATTCACATAGGATAACTGTTTCATGTCACGAACTTTTCTGAGCAAAAAAATGCATGAATTCCAGGAAATTTCAAGTTTCACATCTTCAATTATTTTTCACTTATAACCAAATAAAATATTTTAAATAATAGGAAGAAGATGAAATCCTCGCATTTTCTTGGCCAAATTATTTTATGATTTTCGAAAAATAAAGATCTTGAAAATGACAGGATTATTTCAAATTTCTCCTAACAATTTAATTCAACCAACTTGTCAATATGAAAATGTCCCACGTGTTTCAGGGATCTTTTTGATGTCAAGAGCAGAATATTTTCCAGTCATAACTTGAGTAAAATCAAGATTTTAACGTCAAATTTTTCGCACAACGAAATTGATCCTACAATGAAGTACAGTACCCTAGTCTTGTCACGAACGCAAAATTACGAACGCACATTATAATTTTTTCTACTGGCTTTGGATGTTGAAAAAATAACCTTTTGTATAATATTGAATCACTAGAAATTAGTGACCAAAGACTGCGATATAAATAAAAGTAGAAGGATTAAAAGAGAAGACTAAATTCAGCGAAAGTTCTTCACGGAAATGATCAGGGAAAACGGTAGTTTTTCTGACAAAAAAGTTTTTCCTGTGGGTATCGGGTTTATTCTGTTCATTGTCTGCAATAAGTGCCGGATAATTTTCAGTTTTTGATGAAATATTGCAACGAAAAAAAAAATCCTTCATTCAAATTGATGCCAATTGTAATTCCCCCTTTTTCTTCTTTTCGGAAAACCGAGCTTTTCTCCACGAACCAAGGAAACGGAAAGTTAATTTGCCATCAGTTTATCCACGCATGGCATCAATGGGTACTTCGTACCAACGGTTCCCTTGTTGACTGTTCCGATGCTGATTCAATTAAAGAAAATTGAAAGAGACTCGTTTGACTTGAACAACAATAAACACCTGCGCGAATGAATCGACGCGTCACAAAAGGACGACGCAACGGAATTCACGGGGGTTCTTTTTTCTTTTTTGGCTCCCACCGAAAAAAAGCCCCCTTCCTTTTTTTTGAGCCATAAGAACTCGTGTAACTTCTATTTCTCCCTGTTCTCGTTTTACGCCATTTCTTTTTATTCTTTTATTCATTTTTCAGGTGGGTTTGTCGGTAGAAACGAGAAGAATAAAAGGAGCCAAGTCGCTTTTTTTGTGTGTGTGAAAAGACCCGGTCGAATATCGGGATCGGTTTCCGTTGCCGACTTGTTTATCCCCAGGACTCTGGGAATTGGCTGGTGAAACCTGGAGGATACGTATTTTTTTTTTATTGCTAAATAGAATGGATTTCTACATTTCTTTTTTCTGTGCATTTTCAGGTTAGTTTTTTTTCTGTGCCTCCCACCTACGCACTATAGGGAAAATACACATCCAAAAGCATCTAATTGGGAGGCGTTGTTGATTCTCTTTCGCTGAAAATTTATTTTAGTTGATGCACAAGAAGAGATAGATGAGTCGGATTGCGGTCCTTTGTGAGAATGTTTGAAAACATGTTTAGTAGGAGTGAATAATGCGAAGTTTCACGGCGTTTAATGAAATTTCTGTTGCACAAAAAGAAAAGGAAATTCGTGGGAAGGAAAATATTCATTCAAAAATGGAAGCGTACGAATGAGTATAGGCTTTCTGAAATTTTTTTAATGTGCTGTACCGTAATATTACACGTAAAATTTGCCACATACAAAATGCGAGAATATCTGGAAATAGCATAAACAAAACATGCAATCAATTATCGAAAAAATTACAGTAGTGATAGCGTTTAGAAAACCCACAGAAATTATCCTCCGAGAATTTCGAAGTAATCCTTTTCAACAAACTGTTTCAGGAGGAATAAACTGAAAGTTTTTTCGTGTGTTTATAGACTAAGAAAAAAAAACGAGAAAAATGTACGAACATAATTTTTGAAGTCAGTTCAGTATTTTAATGAAGAGAAAGTTTTTTCGAAAAACAAAAGATTCGTATTTGTTTATAAATTCGGAAATAAAAAACGTTTGAATGTAATCCTTTTAACAAACTGTTTCAGTAGGAATAAACTGAAAGTTTTTTCGTGTGTTTATAGACTAAGAATAAAAAAAACGAGAAAAATGTACGAACATAATTTTTGAAGTCAGATCAGTATATTAATGAAGAGAAAGTTTTTTCGAATAACAAAAGATTTGTATTCGGTTACAAATTCGGAAATAACCAAAACGTTTGAATGTATTCCCTTTATATAATTTAGAATAACGTGTTACTGCTTGAAAGATATTTTAACATTTTGAGAGGGAAAACCTAGCATTAATAAGCAAAGAATATCTAAGCCCACACCTTCACCAAAAACAGATTCTGAAGAGAACCCCAACAGAACCTGGGGCTTAAGGAATGCCATCATGATTGCTGCGGATGAAAAAAAGCCACAAAATCCAAAAGATGAAATGGATTGCTTTCAAACAAAACCCATAATCAGAAAATTTTCTGACCTGAGGTCACCTAAACACACACAACGCGTATTCTGTGTGGCAAGTGGTCATCAAAACCATTACACGTTCCCAAGATAGAAAAGCAGTCAGTGAAATCCACGTTAACACGAAAAGGTTATTCAGGAAGTTCAAGAATTTCCATGTCTTTCAAACTTTACTTTGGAAGAGTATTTTCAATTAAAAAAAAAAATATATATATATATATATATTAATAAGGATGCTTGCATTCTGGAGATAATGGCTTTACACCTAAAAAACCAAGCAAGAAGACAATTTGAAAAATCATAATAAAAACCAGGGTTCCAGGAACCACAAATGAAATATATTTTACCTGGATTGAGGTAGCTTTTATTTTATTTACCCAAGTCCGAATGATAATCAGATCCAGTAGGTGTTTGCCTAACCAAGACAGTCAATTCCAGGGAAATTATTGTTCGGTAGAATGTTTCTAGGCTTGATTTCATTTTTTTCAGTAGTATTTTTGAAAGGAACATAAGTTAATTTTTGCTATTCAGGAGTTTCAGGACAGATAGGGTAAAAATTCATTGTCTGTACTCATTTAAATGTGGATTTGTTAGCAAAGGATTTTTTTTTTCTCAAAAGTCAAGACACACTTTTTCTGGGGAAAACAACTTACACTTATCATATACCAGATAACATTTCTGATTTATTGTAACCAGCATACTCTGTAACCTTAAATTATAGCCTTTTTTCAAGCTTTTTATGCAAACTTTCTGGAGCACGTAACCTGCAAAAGAGTAAAACAAAAACCCCGAGACTCATGCGAATTTCAAATTGACAGAGATAAGGATTTTGAGGAAATACTGTAGACATAATTTAGGCTTGAAACGAATTTAAATCGACACGCAATTTATTTAAAATTTCTGTTAGACGGTGGATACATTTCCATCTCTATTACGTCTCGTAGTACCACGAAAAGCCCCACATGGAAATATTCTTCATCCTTCGAACTTCGGAAGTAAAACCATGGGACTCCCTACAGCAGAGCAGTGCCGAGACAATGGTTAGGAACAACCCCTACACAAGGTGTGATTTTCGGCGCTCGCCCTTGGATTTGCACTGGAATGCCCACCTCAGTCCCTTATTTTCCTTTTTTTTCATGCAGGAGATTTCCTCTTCTTTATGGGTCGATCGTGCTGGTCTGCAGACAACAAGGATACCAGTAAAATAGTGAATTTTGGACACCATCATAAAATATATATATGTAGGTGGACCCTCTCCTCCACAATGCAATTCATGAGACCAGAAAAAAAATCAGAGCAAATTTTGTTTTAAAAAATGACTGAAACTTAAGAAATTAAACTTATGGGACCAAAACAAAATTTTGTTACTGTGGACTCTAACAAAATACAAGAGGAGGGGATAGAAACAAATTGCTGTGAAAATTATTTTGTCATAGAGAACCCCTACAACATTGAGGGAGAACCAAAAGAGACCTGAAAACATTATGTTATAGACTCGTAGAGAGAACATCCTTTTAGAAAATATTGTTGCATAGAGATCAACTGTAATGATATTTGTTGCAAAGTTATACGTTCTTGCCATGGGTTTTTTTACTGACACAGGTTTTGTGTTTGCAAGGTCCAACAGTATTGCCAATTTGTTCTAAAGGGATTCACCAGCATATGCAACATAATTGGTTGTAACACTATGTTAAATGTAAAAACAATTGAATTATGGCATAACTTTGAGCACTGTTCCCTAATCCATGATTTGAACCAGCACTAGTCCACAGAAGTTTTTTTTTTTTTTTGCCAGTCCTCAATAAATTTTCTTCTGCATAATAGATTGATCAAAAGTTGGGACATAGTCTGTTATCTTTATCTGAAATTTTGGAAACACAATGGCAGTTGAAATTTTCTGATGAAAAATAAAAGTTAGGTTTTCTCTTAAAGTCAAATTTTGTGAGGCCTTCTGGTTATTATTTCCTTGAAATGTGAAAGAGAAAAGGATCAAAACATATAATTTGATGCATCTTGAAAGGAAGTGAAAGACAAATATAGCAAATGAATCCCTCCTTCCAAGTTCAGCAAGGTCTAAACTCATCAAGGAACAAGTTTAGGCCTATTCCTCATTTATGATTTTCCACACTTTTTGCACTTCTCCGCACAACAAAAGTGTTTATTTCCTCAGCTGGAAACCAGCAAAAATCCAAACCTCCCTGAGTCAAATTATTTTCCTGGTCCCTAGAAATTCAGCTGACAGAGGTTCAACTGTGCTATTCCTTTTTCTTCTGGGCCCACCAGCTCTCCGGCCACCTATGATCCTGTCCCTCCTCCTGTCTTCCCTCCCCCGAGGGCCAGTGGAATTCCCGAGCTGTGCACGGAGGGGAAACAGAACCCCGCTCGGGGGCACGAGAGCCCGAGCTCGGATGCGAACCCAGACAATCACGCACCGGCTTTTGATGATGCCACGAATTCCTTGGCCGACGTGGAAAAAAAAGGGGAGATTTTCACAAGGGGGAAAAGGGGTTCGTTTCGCCGCCGCCAACGCATGCAGTCTGTTGTTGCCGCGCTGTCTGCGGGAATTGTTCCCAGAAAGTAAAAGAAGAAACCTGCTTCTTTATTTTAGGGGAGATTTTCACAAGGGGGAAAAGGGGTTCGTTTCGCCGCCGCCAACGCATGCAGTCTGTTGTTGCCGCGCTGTCTGCGGGAATTGTTCCCAGAAAGTAAAAGAAGAAACCTGCTTCTTTATTTTTTTTATTTATTTTTTTTATTTTCTTGAAGGTTCCTGCTGAAAAGAAGGTTCTTGATTTACTCATTCCTGATGTCTGCTTCTGGTATGTGAGTCCCTTCCTTCATGGATTCAATAACCATGAAACCTCAGGAAGGACGCAATCGAGTTTACTGGACGAGTCTTCCGATTTTAAAGAATAAAAAATAAACTGACACGAGAAATGGAAGAGAAAATCAAGCTTCATATTTGAATTTATTTGCAAGCCGGATATACAATTTGAGTTGACATTCGTGTCGAAATGTTGCAGTTCAAAATCATATGGATTATGTTTCATATTAATTAATTCGCACCATATTTTTAAATATTAATTCTAATGCTGGTTGAGAAGGCTTGATATAGAGATAAAGGTGGACTCTCTCTACAATGACCTGATCTACAACGATTTCCTCTGTGTTATAAAATTTTTTTCCAGCATAGGATTTTCTTTTCCGATGTTACCTGGGTTTTCTACAACAAGATTCTCTCTACAGCGAATGTTTCTCTAGTCCCTCAAATTTTTGGTGATCCCTTGGATTCTCTCTATAACAAATTTTTTCCTTAGCCCCTTGAATTTCGTTGTAAATAACCGCTGTAATTTGAGGGAAAGTTCCCCATCCCTAGTTTGTTACGTTCTCTACAAAGAAATTCTCTCTACAACAAATTTTCCTTTAGTCCCTAAAATTTTAATGTAGAGGAAATGCACATGTATACAGTATCACAAACCGAATGTGCAGACAGAATTTCTACTAAATATTGAAGGATTTGACTTGGATGAACATTGATACTCAATTTTTGTTCTATGTAGATTTTATCACAGAATCTCCGGTCAGATTGAATAGAACGTCTATCCTTTATATTTTCTGATTTATTTACGAATCCTTGACCATCAAAAGCAAAGCTCGAATCAAAGAGCTAAAAAAAAAATGCGTGAAACTACGTAAAAACTTCACGTTTCGACAAAAGTTTGAGTCTGAACTCCAAAGCATCCTCATCAAGTGCAAATTACGGTACCCCAAAAAATCTCGGATTTTTAAATGCATGCAGACTCAAATCCAAAACAAGCTCATCTCTCACTTCACAGATTAATAAAAAATAATATCGTTCATAATATTTGTTAATATTTTTCCAATCAATCAAATTGCGCCAATGATTTTCCGCATCCCAACCGAAAATCATCCCAACAATCATACCAAGCAGCACAACATGCCATTTCTGCGCACCCCGCGATAATGAGTGATTTGCATGCCAATGCACCGACCCCTGTGACGCAGCCTCTAATTACCCCCAGGGGGGGAACTGTGATTGCCATCGAGTTCGACCCCGGTCATCACAACAGGCTATCACTGAGAGAAAGGGCAAAATATCAGTAGTACAGACAGGACGGACCCAGAATACTGATGCGAAAATGAGATAAACATGAATGTTGTTTGTCTTGTTCATCGCAAGAAGATCGACTGACGTGCGACCCAAAGACCTTTGAGATGTTGAGACATGCTGTGGAAAGAGATGATCGAGAGCAACTCGGGGTTGTTATTGGCGAAATTGAATGCAAAGAGCGTGATCAGTCAATCTATCATGCTTCACAGAAAGTAAAACTTCCTGGTAGACTATAAAGCCAGTGTTCACCAACCCGTGGTCCGCAGACTGGCGCCGGTCCATAAACGTTGAAAATTGCAGACCTGCGCATTTTCTCTCAAAATTGAGACAAGGAAGAAGGGTAGTCTAAATCAATATTTTTTTAGAATTTTAGGTGCACATTATACTTGATTCTAACGGGAAATTTGGGACCAATTTCAACAGTAAAATTTATAGCAAGGAAATAGTTGAAAATTAGTTTAATTCATGTTCAATTCATTTCTAAATTCAAATTTGAGATTTCTGATTTTTAAAATATTGCAGTTTTGGAGTCACTAAGGATGGGGTGTGCTTCTTACTCAGGGAAACAATTTTAAAAGAAAATTTGACCAAAAAACCCCAGTCTTACTCAAGGGCACGGGCACCAATTGGGGACAGATGTCACCACAATATAAGTTGATTTCAAGTGTTGCAATAAAACACAATAATCAGTCCTGGACAGGACCAAAAATTCCTTGTAGGAATTCCTAAGTTACCAGGATAAATATATTTCACAAAAAGGCAATCAATAAACAACTCAGCAAATTCTTCTCACAGCTAGGATAAATACCGATTACTTATTGAGTTGAGTTGATGACTACTACTAGACTAATTTGTACTCGACGAATATATGAGTCTCTATAAATTGTAAAGAGTAACCAAAGATGAGATATATATCTCATCCGTATCGTCTTCAAGCTGGGCATAACAGTTATGCACAACAAATGCGTTGCATAATGCGTAGCAGTTACACCCAGCCCTTCATGTAACAAATTATTTGCTGGGTATGACTGAAAGCACCTTTAATAGGTCAGGAATCTAAAGTCAAAGATGCTACAGTGCCAGGAAGTACCTGGCACTGCAATTTTGATGAGGGAAAAATGATTTCCAGGAATTTTTGTTTAATTAATAATGGGCAGCACGCTTGTCCAAAAGTACCCAGCACATGAGTAAATGGCTTATTCATTTTTCTTTGCAGGGTTACCTGGCAAGCTTTCAAAGTTGTTCTTTTCAAGCTTTTGGCTTTCAATTGCACATAAAGAAATGTAAAAAAAATGTATATATATTTACTTGGAGCAAGTTGGACTTTGTACAGACCTATCTGGTAATAACAGCAGCGCAAGAAAAGCAACAGCAGCTGCAAACAACTGGCAGAAAACATTCCAGCGGTGTGGGATTGCAGGACTCGGAGCTATTGGGTCATTAATCGCTTCCTCCCCGCGTGCCGCTGCGTCCGTGCAATTAAGATGCCTGCCGAGGGTCAGCTGACCCGCGTGGCCCACCGCACTGGAAATAAACGACCCACACGGCCCGCCGGGGACTGACACGAAGTTTCGTCTTTCCTTCGTTCCGTAGTGGCTTCTATTTCTACATGATCGCAATCAATTTCAGCTGCTCGGAAGACGTGAATAAATAAAATAAAAATTACAGTAGATGTTGCAATATCATATAATACGTATAATACATGATTTATCATATAATACATGCAAGTAAACCGAAAAACATCCCGAGACAAGATGGCTTTATTATTTTTTTTCTTCACAGGTGTGGGGCCTCTCTCTTTTCAAAAGTTCGTGCCTACAAAAGTTTTATCTGCAATATTTTTTAACCATACCGGTCTCTTACCCAAATGACAGAGGTTCTTTAAAAAAATTCTCTCCTCAAGAAAAATTTTCAAGTCCCCAAATTGTTAACATACAGAGAGTCCACCAGTAAATCAAATCTTCACGGCAAACTTTGAAGGAACATAAACTAAAGAATGGTCTTGGGGAGCTCTTGAGTTTGGGAAATCACCAATTTTGTTTGTGAAAAATCAAGGATTCCAGGACAATGAAATCAGCAATTTTCCATAATCATCAACTGTCCTACGACACTTCATATATTTCCTTTCCAACGTAAACGTTTTAATCAGTGTGAAGGAAAACTTTTAGTAACGAAAAAAGAAAGGACTACCCAGTGGTCTTATTATCGGGGTTCCGCTCATGAAATTTGATTTTTAGAGGTTTGAGAAGAAATGTCTTTGAGTCATTGACGTCTGTAATATACTGCATATTGTTCTCAAGGGAATTCAGAAAGGGACTGCGTAAATATTTGACATTTGGAGGTGGTAAACTAAAGTTTTGAGCTGAAGAGGTATAATTAAAATAAGATGGGATATTTGCATATCAACAGCAGTTTTCAATTTTTTCTTCTCCTCGTCTGACCGACTGATTCATTTTGTCAATATCCATTTGACAAAAACTGTAAGTTGTGCTCTGAAATAAAACACCACAGAGCATGAATAATTTGCTTCATAAAAAATTTAACTCAAAGAGCTCAACACTACCCCCAACCCCAATCAAGACAAAAAATGTTAGCATAATCTCAAGTACTAACTTTTCAGCAAATTTTTTTTGCCATTTTTACAAATGAATTATGAAAGATAAGGATACTCTTATATATATAAAAGTGAAATAAACTCCTATGTATTACAGTGGTTACCGATAAGAAACTAAAATTTGAAAAAGGTGACCTTTGACCTCACACTTAGACTACGTTTCGAAAAAATTTCGGTAATTTTGCCGCTAAAAGTGAAGGTGCACATACCATGCAAGGAGAAAAACTACTTGAGTAAATATAGTGAAGTACCTGCAGATTTCTTCTCTACAAAAGGAATTACTGGTGCTATTTTGCTCCAAGATTTAGAAGAAGTCATTTCTAAAAAAAAATCCCTTTTTACACATCTGACCTGATGAATCCTGTAAAACCCATAGTTTTTCCTCACAATAGACACGTAAACGGTTCAAAAAGTAAATGGATAATTTTGAACAACCCAATATTCAGGGAAATGATGTGGATCACAAATAATTCTTCATAGACAAGAACATTTTTTTTTTTGCAAACCTACATCAATCTATGAGCCATGCTATAAAAGAAAGAGCTGAAAAGAGTTATTCTAAAATTTAGTCACTGCATTTATAAAACAGTAAGAAGTACATCATTTGGTTTTGGTCATGTGATCTGCATGTTCGCAAACATTGTATTCCTATTGACGATCCGCCAATATAAAAAAGGCATAACTGTTGAACCACTGTGAAATGATTTGAAGAACTAAAAATTATGGTTTATATTTTAATGCATAATACAGTACATGAAATCTGCCCCTTTCCCTTGAAAACAAGTCAATTTCTAGAACCTGCATTTTAATGTGCACTTTGAGAAAGATTTTAAATTTTAAGTGCATTATGCATGTTATAGACTGTGTAATGTTGGAATGATCTTTCAATAAGTTTTATAAACATCGTAAACGATCCCATATGAAATCAATGCCATTTCAAAAATGCCAAAATCGTTTCAGCTTTTATTGTACATAGAATGAGGCCGACACAAAACATTCTTGTCTAAAATAAAATTGTTCCTATTAAACATTTGAAAATTTCCTCGCGGTAAAAAATCTTTATCCTTCCAAAAACACGCACAACTTCGCGTTTTTTTCCGAAAAATTCCCGCGCAGAAAATATCCGTTCTATCTTCTGATGAACTTCTTGGCAATTCAAAATATTGAAGAAATGTATCACCTGGAATGACGAAACATCGCGGTTTGATTCTTTATTCGAAAAAGGTCAACTTCATCGTCGAGTAACGTCAACGCTCGCGCAATTTCCTCATCCCAATTCTTCGTGCAGAAAATTTCCCTTCATTCATCTGCTGGTAAACTTCCCGCTAATTCAAAAGATTGAAGTAATTCAAAACATCATCAACATAATATCGCTGTTTCTTTTTTTTTTTTTCCTCATTCGAAAAAGCTCAAGTTCGTCGAGTAACGTCAACGCTCGCACAATTTCCTCATTTCGATCCTTCGTGCAGAAAATTTCCCTTCATTCATCTGCTGGTAAACTTCCCGTTAATGCAAAATATTGAATTAGTTCAAAATATCATCGACGTAATATAGCTGTTTCTTTTTTTCCTCATTCGAAAATAAGCTCAACTTCGTCGAGTTACGTCAAACGCTCGCACAATTTTCTCATCCCGATTCTTCGTGCGAAAATTTCCCCTCATTCATCTGCTGGTAAACTTCCCGTTAATTCAAAATATTGAATTAGTTCAAAATATCATCAAGGTAATATCGCTCTTTATTTTTTCCCTCATTCGAAAAAGCTCAACTTCGTCGAGTTGTATGTCAACGCTACTCGCACAATTTCCTCATCCCGATTCTTCGTGCAGAAAATGTCTGTTCATTCTTCTGTTAAAATTCCTGGAAATTCAAAATATTGAAGTTATTCAAAATATCTTCAACGTAATATTGCTGTTTCTTTTTTTTCCTCATTCAAAAAAGCTTAACTTCGTCGAGTAACGTCAACGCTCTCACAATTTCCTCATCCCGATTCTTCGTGCAGAAAATGTCTGTTCACTCTTCTGTTAAAATTCCTGGTGATTCAAAATATCATCGACGAAATATCGCTGTTTATATCCTCATTCGAAAATCAGCTCAACTTTGTTGAGGAACTTCAACCCTCGAACAATTTCCTCATCCCATCCCTTGGCTCGTGGGAACTGTTGGGCCACGAAAATTCTACATCCCCCTTTTTTCTCCCCCACTCACAAAATGTTGTGGCTGAAGGATAATGTTATGATGGACGGGAAAGAATCGATTCTTCGAATTCCAGAACACAGGGTTACAGTATTTTGCTTCATTTTTTTCCCACTTCACGTATACACACACACACTCTTTTAAATGGTTTCGCCTATGAGTGGGAGTGTGGGAAAAAAAGCAGCGGATAAGCCTCGAATTTCTTTCCATCGCTAGAAATTATTTTGTGTGGGATGTAGATACATCACAGTTCGTGGGCCCCGAGATGCGGACATAATCACTTATATGATGTGCAGGCATTCTGACATTTGGACACAGTCTGTCAGATCAAATTTCCCCAAATATAGGCTTCATGTAAAAACATTTAATCAATTAATTTCTTCATATTTCTTGATGAATTATCAGGAATTTGTGTGGCATGTATAAATAGTTGGGCCCAAGATGTGGACACACTTGCTTCTTTGACTGCGTCCTTATATCAAAATGTCTGCATGTTATTTTCTCATAGACTTTAGTTTCAAATTTTTAGTCAATTCACATCTTCACATTCCTTGTTATGAAGAAAGTTGTGTAGCATTTACAGTATACACAATGGAACCCAAGATGTTGACATAATTACTTTTCAGACTATTTGTGTCTAAATGTCAGAATGTCCACATGTTGGAACATATTTTCTGTAAACTTCCATTGAAAATGTTTAAATTACTACTAAAAATTGAAAGAAATCCTCAAAGTTGTGAATAAACTGTTTCCTGTCATTCAACGCCAAAAGTAACTGATGTGTAAAAAACATGCAGAATCTCTTCCTTGGAGTAAAATGAATCAAAAAGGGGGAAAATTGGCTCACAGTCAAAACATGAACACAAAAGAGTTTTGCGGTAAAAACACCTTGCTAACATAATTTCTAGATAATACTGCAAATGTTCACAGAAGGACTCTCTCTGCAACAAAATTCAAGGAAAAGATTCTTGAAGAAACCATTTCTTTGTAGAGAACCAAAAAAAAAAAACAGTTGAAAAGCATCTTTTGGGAATTGTTAAAGAGAAAAAAATCATCGATGAAAAGATTGTAATGAAGAGTCCAAAGTTGTGAATAAACGTGTCTTTGTAAGGTTTCTGCATTGTCTTAGAAACTTCGAAAAATTCAATTGGGAATTTTTTTGCCAAAAGCTTCAAATTCCCCAGAGGAAATGGTTGGAATTTTTCTGATCCAGCAAAAGAACCTTCCACCTAACAAACGTTATGCTGGGATGATTTGTGCTTGTCAGCCAAAATCCCATTGCATTGCAATTTTAAAATAATTTTGAAACTGAGCTCGTGGAATATGATTTAAATACTTGAGACATAATTCTGAGATGAGAAATTTGACTTGAACTATGTCGAAAATTCATGTAATTTCTGCGGAAATTATACGATTTATTCTTATATGCAAGAACACTTTTCTGAAAGCAACACTATCACCATCATCATCATTGTGAGCAGAAAAAAATGAATAAAAAAAATTGGTCCTAAAATTTGATCCATTACTTTTTTCGTGGAAACAGGATTTTCTTCCTGGAATCGGTCCACTGACCCAAACGTATAGAAGAAGAAAGTCGATTAAGCGCATTCCTCATTGGGTGAGAAAAAAAAAACCCCTCAGGGCAGAAGTAAACACATGGTGAGTAGAAACGAAAATGATGACTTGTCCG